CATGCCAAAACGGACCAAGGGATGATATGCGACCAAATAGCGAAATCACTGGTAAGAGGAAACTCTGGAGGTCTTAGTAAGAAACTGAAGAAGGGCTTTTTGTGATCCGATAAAAGGAAATACAGGAGAGGTAGAAGGAATTAGCCGACAATCCACGAAGAAAAGCGGAGAAAGCGGATTTTTTTTTTTTCATAAGGCCCACCAATTTCATTTGCTGCTTGTCGGATTTTTTTTTTTTTTTTTTTTTTTTGAGAGAGAGAGAGAGAGAGAGAGAGAGAGAGAGAGAGAGAGAGAGAGAGAGAGAGAGAGAGAGAGAGAGAGAGAGAGAGAGGAGAGAGAGAGAGAGAGAGAGGAGAGGGGGGGAAATAGAGCGAAAGGGCAGGGAAATATCGCAAAGTCTGGGGCGAATGCATAGGGTTCACAGAACATGGAGAATAACATTTTTTTCAACTTTTCGTGACATATTTTATGTAATGCATCCCGTCCTTTGATCTATGACTACAATTTCGGATAAAGAACATTGTTTTTGATACTCTAATCTCTACCGCTTCCCCGATGTCTACTCCTCACTCTACCTGTAGCACCAGGCAAACTAAACATTTACCCCATCTTACCCTATCTACACATCCTCCCCTACACCCTCCTCTTCCTCTGCTCCTCGAGAATCCATTCCTCTTCTCTCACAAGAGAGCATTTGTTTCACAGACTTCCCCCCCCCCCCAACACCCCTGCAGAAACTCTTGAAGACATCCATAACTTCTTAAATATGACCCGAGAGAACAGGGGCGCCGTTAAACTGCCAGGGCCTCGGGGCAAAAGAACGGCACCGGACACTCAGGGCCACATCCTCTTAGGTGGGAAACACCTTTTTTCAAATAGGAAACGCCCATTTCTCTCTCGAACTTGTTAACGTTAACTGCTGTAACGTTGTTGTAGTATAAATTCACCTATATATTTGCTGAGTTAGTTGTTCTTGAGCTCAAATAAGTGACTGCTGTAAATTTTATGGGCCCAGGGTAGTTTGCCACGGTCCCCCCCCCCCCCCCCTGTCGGCGGTCCACAAGAGAGCGCTCCGGTCCCCCATCCACCCTCCAATTCCTCTATTCCTATTTTCCTCTACATTCAAGTATTTTGCTGATAACCATGCACTTCCTTCTCAAGTTCCCCTACCCCCTTTCCTCTCACTCTCTCCAATACACCCCATATCTCTTCCATCTGCACCATTTCCTCTTCATTCCCCATTATTCTTAAGTCACTAACAGTGTTCTTTTCCGGATCCCTCCCCACCTGACATTCTTCCTGATATGTCACCACTTTCCCCAGTTCCCTTATCTTATTCCCTGGATTCTTCTCCTTCTTGTTTCATAATGGCTCTGTTACCAGTTTTCCTTTAACATTGTTCCTCTTGCTACCTTAGACATAGACACTCACCGTTTCATCCAATCGCCATAGGACCTTAACCTTTTCCTCTTTCACTAATCTCTGCTTTATTTCATTTGTTACCCCCATTTTTATCCTTTTCACTATCATACTATCCTATAATGCTCTATAACCTTTGATATCTAGCACATTTCATCTAAATCCCTGACTCATTTTTACCCCTTTCGCCACATTACTTTAGTATGATGCGATATGACCTTTGATGTCCTGCTCATTTGTTTTAGCCATTAACCATTTATCTCTCCCTCTCCTTTTTTATTTGTTTGATGTAAGGACTTTTGTCTCTCTATTCCACATTTTGCCAACCCATACATCTTCTCTCCTCTTTGTTTTCAATTCTTTGTAGATTTCATTTCCCACTACTGCAGTTGCCTGTGTCCTTGCTCTCTTGGTCTCCTTATTAGCTGTTTTTGCTCTTTGTCATCTACTCTACCTGGAGTTTCAGCCACTTTCTTTGTTTCTTTTTTAATCTTTTATCTTTTCCTGCACTTCATCATTCATGTTTCTTCCCCCAATGTTTCTGATCAACTTACTAATTTCCTCTCACCTTCCATTTACAATTTCTTTTAAAAAAATTCACTCATTATCTTAGCTTTAAACTGACCCTTCAATGCTGTATCTTTTAATTTCCAACATATCATTTTCTTGACTATCTACTGTTTTCCTCCCTTGGCACATCAGCTACAAGAAGCGGATGTTGGGCTGAAACAAACTTTCGTTTTATCACCTTACATTTTTTTTTACCTCTTTCAGATGATTCCTTCTGAACAATAGTGTTAAGTGTTAAGTATTGCTACATTTTTTGCTAATGCTAAATCAGCAATGCTTATTCTTCTGCATTAAGCTCACCAATCCCCTAGCTGGATACATTATATATATATATATATATATATATATATATATATATATAAATATATATATTATATATATACATATATAATATATATAATATATATATATATATATATATATATTATATATATAATATATATATATATATATATATATATATAATATATATATATATATATATATATATAATATATATATATATACATATATATATAATATATATATATATATATATATATATATATATATATATAATATATATATATAATATATATATATAAATAATATATAACTATATATATATATATATATAATATATATATATATATATATATATATATATATATATTATATATGATAGATATAGATATATGCAGGTGGAGTAATGCACTACCACACTGATATGATGAATAAATAACCTCACCGATAGGGACTCGGACCCTCACTTGGCACTGAGCTCCACACCCTACTAAAAGGATTGTGCAACTAGGAGCTAACAAGCTTCCATAGACATTACCTATCTCACATATGAGTAGATAGGTAATGTCTATGGAAGCTAGTAAGTTCCTAGTTGCACACTCCTTTTAGTGGGTTGCATATCTCAGTGGGAGATCGTTTGTCCTGCAGTTACCCTTCTGCAAAGTCAGGGTCCGAGACTCTGTCTGTGAGGTTATTTATTCATCATATCAAGGTGGTAGTGCATTATTCCTTCTTTCTTTAAATACACCTCAGGATTCCGGATTTCAGATTTGAACTGCCCTATCACCTTCTACCGAGTGCCCATGGGGAGTGTGTGTAAAACTTCGCTATCCTTACTCATGTATGAGTAGAAAGGTTATGTCTATGGAAGCTAGTTAGCTCGTAGCTGCACACTTCTTTTAGTGGTTTGCGTAACTCAGTGGTAGAGCGTTCGTCTTGCAGTTACCTGTCTGCAAAGTGAGGGTTCAAGTCCCTATTGGAGAGGTTATGTATTCATATAAATATATTTACATATAGATATATACATATATAAATATAACTATAAATATAAATATAGATATAAATATCTATATATCTATATATATATATATATATATATATATATATATATATATATATATATATATATATATATACATATATACATGAGGGTAAGTAAGAAGCAGCTAAATAATCTTACATTTATTGATTTATACCAATAAATATCTGATTTTATAAATAAAAGTCTTATAAAAATACAACCAACCTAACCTTCCAACAAAGAATACGAATGTTATATTTGAATTGAAAACTGTATTTAAAAATGGTACAGAAACTTCAAAGAGTAAACATTGCTCACAAATCATATGTGGGAAGTGGATATTTAAGGAGGTATATAGGCTTTGGCAAGGTCTATTTATGCCAACCTTGGACCAAGGTACATATAAATAAGCAATGCCAGTAGTAATGAATTATGAGATAAGAAAATGGAATTCATACTTTATTGCACACTCTTGATTGAAAAAATTTTTATACATATATGTGCACAATTCAGAGCAAGTGTATTGGCTTTATTGGTATTGAAATGAAAAAGCAATAAGCCTTAAGTAGACAAAATTTAAATGGACTATCCAACAGATGTGGCAGAAGGGAGGGGAGGGTTAAGTTAGATAAAACTATGATCTGATTAGCCGCATTTTAATATTATGTACATTTTAAAAATAAATATCACTTGGATTTCCTTGAGAGGGGGTAGGTAACTTTTTCTATATATCTTCCTTGTGTTATGCTTCTACTTCAATCAATGTTTGTCAATGTTTGGAAGTAAAACCATTCTTTTGGGTTCACAAACAAACAATTCGACTTTAAAGTGGCTCAAAGCATATTGCATTTAATGGTTGGAAAGAAAAGAAGGAAAGAAAAAAAGGTGAAAAACATATTCATAGAAAAATACAGTAACTGTGTTTTCAGTGATAAAATAATTTCTCTTGAATACCCAGTGTCCTAATAGATCCACCCCTTCCAAATGCTGATTAAAGTGCTGAAAATGAAGAAGAGTTAAAAAAAAAATACAAACTAAAAGAAATGTGAGTAACATTTTAAAAAATCTGTTAAACCATTTAAAATGCTTTAGCATGTCAAATGGTACAACCAGGCTTTAAACTGATAAATAGCATATTAGGTTGATGTGTAAAAATATATAATTGGGGAGAGGGGATCCAATAAATGCCACTGTTGACACAGAAACCTTAATTGGTTTTATAGACATTTTATAAAAACTCATTATCCCCTTAAAAAGTTGAGGTTCGTGCCTTTGTTATGGTAGATTTTATTTCATGAGGGCTCTAGTATTTGTGTGGGTGATTCTTTAGATTAATAAGTATTCAGCAGTCTAACTCTGGCCACTTCTCAGAGTGGGAAATCTAAAATTGTGGGACATATTTCGTGAGGTTATTGAATATTTCTGCAATTGCACAGACAACTGTTGCTGTTTCCTGTTGCTTAACCTGGGAAATACTTTTATCATTGAGTAACTAGGGACTGTGACTTTGTCAGTATGCTCATTATGAAACAAAATTTTGTTTACTATCATTTTGGGAATTTTGCTCTCACTCGCTCTCTCCTTTCCCCCTGTGGAAGCAAATTGATTATCGGAATATAAATAGCCCATGTTTTATTGCACTGCGTACATGCATTGTCCACTGTAGTTTTCTTTCGTTAATTTACACATGGATTCAATTACTGTGCTTATCTAACTATACCTATTTACCGAAAAGAGAGAGAGAGAGAGAGAGAGAGAGAGAGAGAGAGAGAGAGAGAGAGAGAGAGAGAGAGAAGAGAGAGAGAGAGAGAGAGAGAGAGAGAGAGAGAGTGATGAGTGAGTGAGTGAGTGAGTGAGTGAGTGAGTGAGTGAGTGAGTGAGTGAGTGAGTGAGTGAGTGAGTGAGTGAGTGAGTGAGGTGAGTAGAGAGAGTGAGTGAGTGAGAGAGTGATAGAGAGTGAGTGAGAGACTGAGAGAGAGAGACTGAGAGAGAGAGAGAGGACTGAGAGACTGAGAGAGAGAGAGAGAGAGACTGAGAGACCTGAGAGACAGAGACAGAGAAAGAGAGGAGGAGTGAGTGAGGGAGAGGGAGGGAGAAGGGAGGAAGAGAGGAGAAGGAAAGAGAGGACAGGGAGGAGGGAGGAGAGAGGGAGAGGGGGAGAGAGAGGAGAAGGGAGAGGAGGAGAGAGAGGGAGAGGGAAGGAGAGGAGGGAGAGGGGGAGAGAGAGGGAGGAAAGAGAGAGAGGGAGGAAAGAGAGAGAGGCAGAGGGAGGAGAGAGAGGGAGGAAAGAGAGAGAGGCAGAGGGAGGAGACAGAGAGGAAGAGGAAGGAGAGAGAGAGGAAGAAGGAGAGAGGGAGAGAGAGAATATTTTTTACTTGCTCCTATTATTGGTAAACAAAGGAAATCATACCTAAATATGTATACCTCATTTGTACTAAGTGCTAACAAATAAAAAAAGCTGCCAATTGCTTTGCCCATCACCTTCTCATATACCTTGACATATACTGCTAGAACATGATGAAGTTGTTTCCCTTTGCTTATACCATTTGTAGTTGAAAGTACCTTATAGATATCAAATCTTTATTTTATATGTATTCTCATGTGCTTTTCTAGATGCTGTTTTTGTGAGAAAGCTTTGCAACACACCTCACATGTATAAGGCTTTTCCTTTGTGTGTACTCTCCTATGCACTACTAGAGCATCTCTCTGTGAGAATTTTTTGCTGCATTCCTCGCAGCTATAGGGCTTTTCTTTTGTATGCACTCTCATGTGCTGCTCAAGATGATGTTTATGAGAGAATGCTTTGGAACATACCTTACATTCATAAGGCTTTTCTTTGGTGTGCACTCGCATGTGTGCAACCTGGTGACTCTTCTTTGAGAATGCTTTGCTACAAACTTCACAGCTGTAAGGTTTCTCCTTTGTGTGTACTCTCATGTGAATTAGGAGATGACCATTATATGAAAAAGTTTTGCAACATACTTCACAGACAAATATCTTTCCCTTTTTATCGACTGTTAAATGTGTAACTTTTTCCTTAAAATTCTGAGGTGCCTCTTGACCACCTTCTGAAGAGGTTACATTCCCGCAATCTTTTAATGGCACTATTTTTAATGGATCTTCATAATCACACATCAGAACATCTGAGTCACTTTTATTTGCTTGCACATCAGCATTTTCAGGACACTCGCTTGTACTTATTTTATTTTCAGTTTTTATAAAGACGGCATTTTCTTCACCTTCACAATTGATAAATTCTTTTTTTATCTCCTGACAATTTTCCTCACTGACATCTTCAATTCTCTCTTCCTTAATAGAAATGAATTCTATCATGTCATCCATGATGATACATGAAGTAACACTTGGTAATTACAACAGCTGAAAAAGAAACACTTGATGAGTCAACATTCTTGGATTATAATGTAAAAACTGTATGAATAATGTATAATTTCTAAAAACTGTAAGAAAGAAAGAAAGAAAGACACACAGAAAATGAGAGACAAAAAGAAGAGTGAACTGTCTGAGATCATGTTTCTTTTATCATACATGAAATGTGGAACACTGATAAACCTACATGGCATCGTTTTTAAAAGGAAAATATGAATGACACAAGCACATTCACTAACTACAGCCATACCTCTCGATGGATAAGAAGAGCAAAACTAATGAGGAGAGAGAGGGTAGCAATAGATGGGTGAAAGAAGAAGAGGGAATATGAGAGAGAGAGAGAGAGAGAGAGAGAGAGAGAGAGAGAGAGAGAGAGAGAGAGAGAGAGAGAGAGAGAGAGAGGAGAGAGAGGAGAGAGAGAGAGAGAGAGAGAGAGAGAGAGGGGGAGAGGAGGAGAGGAGAGGGAGAAGAGGAGGAGAGGGAGAGGGAGAGGGAGAGGGAGAGGGAGAGGGAGAGGGAGAGGGAGAAGGAGAGAGAGAGGGAGAGGGAGCCCGGATGAGAGAAAGGAGAGGGAGAGAGAGAGAGAGAGGAGAGAGAGAAGAGAGAGGAGAGAGAGAGAGAGGAGAGAGAGAGAGAGAGAGAGAGAGAGAGAGAGAGAGAGAGAGAGGAGAGGAGAGAGAGAGGAGAGAGGAGAGGGAGAGGACTATGACCTATGGGCTAGAAGCACAGGATTTCCTGCATGTTCTAATATGTCTAAATCAGTAATATATCATGCAAAATAAGTAAAAAATAATGATATAGACTGTAGATGGCAATTAGTAAAACAGTATAATGTTATGAATGAGAATAAATATCACAATGCAAAAGGTGTATTCTGAAGCAGAAATTGTTTGTATTGTGAAATTATTCATTGAGATTCTTCCCCTCTCACCATCTGTCAAAATTAATTTAACAATAATGATAATTATGGTAATACAATACAGCAATATACAAATTCTTATAACATTATAACTGCAATTAGAATAACAATAACATTATATGTTAAAAGCAAATAATATAACAGAGACACAATAATTATATTAACACTACTTACGTCTTCAAGCCAGTCTATGTATCTGCAAAATCATACGCAGCATCTGTAACATCTTGTAACAGTTAATGAATTCCTGCAAAGGATTAAATAGTCAATTCCACATTCCATGATGCTAAATCGGCTGCTAGTTGTTCAAACAATCAACAATCATTCATATCTCAAGTTTGTAATATAAAGTGTTAAAGAACTGGCAAACTCCTTTCCAAAGTTTACAAAAACAAATACATTTACATAATGATATGCAACTAGGACATAGTACAAAGTATAATGAGAATAGAAAGGATGATGTGTATTCAGACTTAAAAAAAGAAGAAAATTTGATATATATATATATATATATATATATATATATATATATATATATTATATATATATATATATATATATATAATATATAAATATAAAGTTATTTGACCCTCTTTACTAAAAATAACATTTTTGTTTGTTAGATTATTTGAGGTTAGTAAATGAGGAAAGGGTTAATAACATAGGGCGAATGGATGATATCGACTGTATCTATGGTTGGGGAAGTAATAGGAATACTGTTTAACGGAAACTGTTAAAAGAGCCATTATGAAACAATCAATGGGTAATATGGGTAAAGATGGCTGTTGGAGAAGTAGGAGGAGAAGAATCCAGGGAATGAGACAAGAGTTGGGGAAGGTGGTGATCAGGAAGAATGTCTAGAGGGAGAAGGACACTGTTTCGACAGAAAGGATTCATGTGAGCATCCACATGGGAGCGGTAACAATAATGGGGAATGAAGAGGGAATGGTGCACATGGAGGAAAGGATGGGGTGTTTTGGGAGAGGGTGGGAGAAAGGTGGGTAGGGGGGACCTTGTGGAGGAGGAGGAGGATATCAGCAAATACTTTAAATGTAGAGGGAATAGGAACAGAGGGATTGGAGGGTTGATGAGGGAGCACAGTGTTTCTTTCGGTCATGTTTCGGATGTCTTTTCTCTCTATTCCCTCTTCTCTTGCGAGAGAAGAGGGGATAGATGTCCGAAGAACAGAGGAAGAGGAGGGTGTAGGAGAGGATGTGGTAGGATATGGAGTGGAACATTTAGGTTGCCTGGTGCAACAAGTAAAGTGAGAAGGAGGAGAGATAGACAACGGAGGAGTGGTAAAGATTGGAGTATCTGGATTTGGCCTAGGAAAGGAATTTGACTGGGGGAGAGTGGGAGTAGAGGTAGAATGGTTTGGGGTAGGGGGTAGAAATACTGGGGACGAAGCTGAGATATCTTGAGAAGATGGGAGAGGAGCAGAGCGAAGGACAGTTTAAGAATAAGTAGAGAGAGAAAAATCTCATCAATGTGCTTCTTGTCTGGCCTCAAATAGAGTGAGGCCATGTTTGAATCTGAGAACTGCTATATCAGATTTGAACTTACAGGCAGGGCAGCTCCTATAAAACATATTATGGGAGCCATCACAATTGGCATATGTTAGTGACTGAGCAGAACAATTTGAACGGTCATGATCAGGTTGGGTACATAAAGGGCAATGGGCTGTGGAGTGACAGTGTTTGGCTGGGTGGCCAAGATGCCAACATTTCTGACACAGACAAGGAAGAGGTCAATATGGTCGGATAGGGCAGGAATGTAATCTTCGCAAAATTGGGTGCAATCATGAAGCATTCTTTTACCACTATCATAATTGACAAGGCAAGCAAGTAGGTTGTTTTTACAGTCTAACCAGTTCTTGTCGTATACAAGACAATCAGTCAGGGAGACAGAAACAGTTCTGGTACAAGTATTGAGACATGACTGAGGTTGGGCAGGAATAGGTTTGCTAATGAGGACAGTCAGAGTAGAAAATGCATGAGCTTAGGACTCAGATGTAAATGTTTACTTGCTTTTGGAGACACTGTTGGAAGAAAAGGTAAAAGGCTAGGTAATTAACCAAGGGAATACCATGCCCATGGCTCTATTCATGACTGAACCAATGTAAGCCTTTCATCCCTTAAGCGCTGCTCACACCCAAGGAAGTGGACAAAAGAAGGAGATGAAGAAGAGACAGAAAGGGAAGAGTGGAGAAGAAAAGACCATGCAAAATATGTTGAGGTGAAAGTTGAGTGGTTTGACAAATGTATAAGTACTCCATTTTCTTGCAGGGAATGGTAATTTTTTCTAATATGTCTGCCAAATGGATCATAATATACAACAATTAATTGTTCAGAAACTCCCTGAAACCCCACATTCACGGCCCCAATAGCAAGAGAGGGCTTGGA